TCCCCAGCACCCAGCACCATGCCTAGAGCACAGTGGCACCCAATCAATTTTTGTTGAATGAATGAATAAACAAATATATTGTTTTGATCTCATTTATATCAGTCTCAGAAAAGTCTGGAGTCATAATATTTATCCCTGAGAACTTTTAAATAATTAAGAGGTATAATGTGACCATTACTTTCTTCTAAAACCGTACTAGCTTCTGAAAGCTCTTTTATCATTGTTCTTCTGGAATTCCACAGGAGTCCAAGCTGCAGCTCTCCTGAAATGATACACGTGAACAATGATGCACAGTGCCCCTGCCCTTTTAAAAAATTGCAATAAAATGCCATAACATCACTTTTACCACTGTAACCATTTTTAAGTGTCCAGTTCAGTAGTGTTAATTACATTCAGATCATTGTGCAACCAATCTCCAGAACTCCTATTAGCTTGCAAAAAACTGAGACTCTATATTCATTAAACAACTCTTCATTCCTCCCTGTCCTCAGCCCCCCAGAAACTACCATTTACTTTCTGTCTCTGAATTTGACTATTCTCTAGGTACCTCATATATGTGGAATTATACAATATTAGTCATTTTGTGACTGGCTTATTTCATTTACCATAATGTCCTCAAGGTTTATCCACACTGTATCTATCATGTGTCAGAATTTCCTCCCTTTTAAAGGCTGACTAATATTTCATTGTATGTATATATGGCATTTTGTTAATCCGTTCATTGTTTTATGGACATTTGGGCTGCTTCCAGTTTTCAGCTATTGTGAATAATGTTGCTTTAAATGTGAGTGTACATATCTCTCTCTGAGATCAGGCTTTCCATTATTTTATGGCCTTTTTATTAATGTAACAGTTTCATTGAGATAAACTCCACATACCATATAATTCACCTATTTAAAATGTATAATCCAATGTTGTTTGGTATACTCACAGAGTCGGAGTATTAAATATCAGTTTGTGAGAGAGATGTGTTAGGTTTTTAAAAATCTGAATTCTGTGTATTCTAGGGTCTCCAGGGTAAGTAAATTTAAGAGTATCCAAATTCTAGGACTTAGAGATACCACCCCCTTGAGACTAAAGAATAAAACTCAAAAGCTCGAAATGTGATAAAGAACTGAGGTTTTCCTTGTCTGAGGATGTGGGTCTGTGCAGTTAGAAGCTGCAGAGACAGAATGAATTGGAAGGAATGGGCTACAGAATTTCAGAATCGCTCAGTGCCCAGTACTTATCTGCCAGGAAAGAGTTACAGCATGGTCTGCAGAGACAGCCTGGCCCCATCTTCCCACATTCCTTCCTAGCGGGTTGTTTATTGCCTTGTCAGTGTTCGCTCTTTGCCTCTTGCTCAATCATCTCAAAGTCCAATTTTTCTCACTATCTAATCGGAATTCTTGGTTATTTATGTCATTGGTGACCCCTAACATGTTTCTTTCAATCTTCCTTATCTCTTTGGTGAAATTGTTTGACCTTTAGATAGGAAGGCATTGTGCACAAATGGAAAGACTCATAGATGCAGAGGCATGAGGTCTGGGTGGCGGTCTAGTCCCACCGCTGAATAGCTGTAAAGTGGATGGAAATCACCTCTCAGCCTCCCTTCCCTGCTGTGTAAAGTAGGCCGAGGGATACCACCGTGTCTAACTTTACCACGTTGTTGCCCTGACTGAATGATATCATCTAAATAAGTGCTCTGAAAACTATAACACCCTACGTTATTACAAAGTATTATAAACCCTGTTACAAACCCTGCCACACTGCTCCTGTGGCATGTGTGTGTGTGCGTGTGTGTGCACGCGCACGCACACACACACACACACACACACACACACCTATTTGA